GCATTTCAGAGAGCCTGTGAAGGAGAAAAAAGGCCTTCAGTGTGTCCTGTGTGTCCTGTGGCTGCTGGGAGTGCGCTCCTCCTGTGAACACAGTGGCACAGGAGCCAACACAGGCCTTGCCTGTGTGGCTACTGGACTCACTCCTTTGTATCACTCCCCTCCTCTGTCTCTCCTTTTTCCTGGCTTCCCTGCCCACCTGCCAACCGTTCGGTGTGGCTTTTGATTCTTGGCTGTTCTCTGCTGTTGCCAGCTCCAGCTCTGCCTGTTTGCTTCCTCCTCTTTCTCTTTCCCTCAATGGCTGGCTGCCTTTTGGCCTAGCCTTTAAAGGTTGGAATGCTCCCACTCCTTACCTTGCTGTCGTTGGTGGTGCAGACATGCCCACTGCCTGCTTTTGTCTGTTATAGCCCAACTCCTCCCTGTCTCCTAGCAGCTGGGCACAGATCACACCTCACAGCCTCCCACACGGTCTAATTCCTGGTCACAGGCATCTTGGGTTTGGGAGGCTGCACAGCAGAAAAGCACACAGGCTCTGGAGACATGAGTTCAGCCCAGTCCTTGCACCAGCCGTGTTCAGAACTGGCAGAGGGCTGTGGTAAGGATTCATGGTGACAGCTTATGTAAAGTGCCAGCCCAGAGTGGAGGATTAATGCATCTTTCCTTTTATTGTGTGGTTGGTGAGGGGCAGACAGGGGGAGAATCCCAAGCAGGCTCCAAGCTGCCAGCACAGAGCCCAACGCAGGGCTCGAACTCACGAAACCGTGAGATCATGACCTGAGCCAAAATCAGGAGTCAGATGCTTAACCAACTAAGCAACCCAGGCGTCCCCTTTTTATTTCATCAAATACTGAAGCAAAACCTGATTTGGAACAGATCTTAAGAAAGGAGACTTGGTTATCCTGAACTAGAGATCCTTGCTTATAGATCACTTAGCTTATAGATCACTCACATTTTGCTTAAGAGTTCTGAATTTAAACTCTGTCAAGGTCCTGGTTTCCAGGTATTTTCAGCTAACATTTTGTTTTTTAAGTTTATCATTTCTTTTGAGAGAGAGAGGGACAGAGAGAGAGCACAAGGCAGGGGGGAGGAACAGAGAGAGAGGGAGAGAGAGAGAATCCGCACTGTCAGCACAGAGCCCAATGTGGGGCTCAGACTGATGAACTGTGAGATCATGACCTGAGCCGAAATCAAGAGTCAGACACTTAACTGAGCCACCCAGGCGCCCCCAGCCTAACAGTTTTAAATGCTGAAGAGATGACTGAATTGCATTATATGGAATTATAATGGTGAAAGGCTTTCTGCTCTGGGTTCCTAGCCAGAGGCCCTGAAAGTCTGGAAACTTTATATTGAATAAATTTGTAGGAGCAACACTTGAACCTAACTCTGACCAGCTTTATGTCTGCCTCTGAAAATGCCTCCTGCTTATTCAGGTGCAGCTCATTTTTCCTCTTGAGCTATACTTAGATTCCTGAGCAGAACTTAAACTGACATTTCTCCAAGAATGTTCTCTTTGTGATAGAAATAGGGAAGGGTAATATAAAAAAAACAATTTTTTTTTGTTCTTAAAGTATGTAAACTAACTCAAGCAAGGGGTTATTCTTCTAAAGCCTATAATATTGTGACAGAAGATATTTCCTTGGATGGTTTTAAGAAAACAAAAGCAAGAAATACATCTCAACTGTCAATGCCTTATTAAATTAAATGTCATTGCCAGAGATTAGAGGAGAATTAGGAGCCTCTGAATACCTTATTTAAATCTAACCAGAGTTGCTGTGTTTGAGGAGAGGAAAACAGACTGTAGTAATACTAAATTTATTCATCTTTCAAAATGGGGCATCTACAAATCAATATTTGATGTATGGATCAATGTATTTTTTAATAGGTTTAATTTATTTAGCAATCTCTACACCTAACATGGGGCTCAAACTCACAACCCTGAGATCAAGAGTTGCATGCTCTTCTGACTGGTCCAGGCAGGTACCCCTGGATCAGTACTTATTTGGGGGAAGTGATGAAGTATGGAACCTCTCATATGAACAGTTTGCAAGCTATTTTCTGAGAAATGCTAAAGAATAAATGTGTAAATTCCTGTGAACTCCATTCTTAAAGAAAAACCAAGAAATTTTACTTTTAAATAAAAATTTCTATTTAAGTTATTAAAATTTAACAGTTTCAAATAATAACTAACAATTACTGCCAAGTAATTAAAAAAGAAGGTAATATAGTTTGGATTGAGGAGAACTTGTAGTCAGGTAAAAAGTATTAAGAAATGATATGGTTCAAATATATAGTAATAAATTCGAAACTCTTAAGCGAATGATTTTTTACAAAACTAACCAAAGAACAAAAATTGCAAGGGGCCAACGATGTATAGAAAAATCAGGATAACCACCAAAATTAAACCACCAAAAACCACCTGGGTCTCATGTTACATAAGTTTGTCCAAGAAAAACATTCATTTATTGAGCACAGTTGACTTTGTGCCAAGTAGTATGCTAGGATTTCACTAATTCACTCTGGTTCTCTTATCTTGGAAGAGATTTGTACTAAACAAAATAGTAAAAGAATAGGAAACATTCAAAGAAAAGAATATTCTTGAAAGCTAACACATAGCATAGTTACAGTGGCATGGTTGTGAATGTTTGGTCTGTGGTAATGTGGCCCCACAGTGTCCTGAAGTTTTATTGTAGATCCTCTGGAGTTTGTGATAATAGAGATGTTTCTAAGATTCAAATGACTTTCCATGTTTATCTCCTTTTATGTTTTGCAGGTAGAGTTAAAAAATGTATATACAATTAAGACTATTTAAAGTATGGTTATTTTATCAATAACTCCTGAAATCTTTACCTACTTATGAATTTCAACCCACTTTCTACATTTTGATTTATTTTTAGATATGTTTGTATAGATGGGAAGCATCAGGAAGCCTTTTTACTGGCTCAAGGTCACAGAATGCTGGAACCTGGTCTTGTTCCTCTGGGCCTTTAGTTCTTTCCAACCTATCAGGCTGCAAGCCCAATAATATCCATGCAAGAAATTCTGTATGTGGTTTCATTGAAGTTGGGGTAGAGACGAGGATGTTTAAGTAGAAAATAAAAAATCAGGAGAATGGGAGATTGTGTTCTTTGGAAAATGTGAGTGCCAGGCTTATTTTTCAACAACAAACTCGGAGTCTTATACTAATCATTATACCATAAAGCCATGTTTTAACCATGAAGAAAAATTTTCAGTTGCATGGTGTGATGGTGTCGAAAAGAGATCTAACCTGGAGTTTGAAACTTTTTTCGAGAGCATGTTTCTTATTGTGGGGTCAGTGGACCACTTGTATTAAAGTCATCTGGAGAGCTTGGCCAGACTGCTATTCCTGTATCCCTTCACTCAGTCTGCAGCTTCAGGAATTCCTCAGGTAATCCTGATGTGTACTAGGTTGTGAGGGGCTGCCCTGAGGTGAGCTACCGAGCTTGGTACGCTGTAGGTGTGCCTAGTGGGTCCTAGGAAAAACAGAATAGGCAAAGATGGTGATCCAGATGGCTGCTTCATGGTCTTTCCCTTCCCCCCCACCCCCCTGTCATTGAAGGGTATCCTCTAGGAACAGTAGTTCCTTCTGCTCTCTACTACTACCTGTATAGACCAAGGGTTCCAGGATGGGCACGTTTGGGCGCATTACTACCCCTCTTCCAGAATCACTATCTGCATCTGTAAAATGGGCACAATATTAGTATCCACTTCATAAAGTTGTTAGGAGATTATTAAAGTGCCTAGAACAGTGCCTGGCATTTAATAAACAATAAATGATAGCTGCTATTATATGCATATTTTTCAAAAGCTTGATGCATTTTGAAACATTTCTTCTGCTGCCTAGTGAATTGTCGAGTTTTAATTCGTTCTTTGCCTAAAGAAAGTTATTGAATTGTTTGCTTCTTTTTTTGTATTCACCATACTTGGGAGTATACAACTATGGCAACATCTAGAACACTTGATGTGCACTTGTTTCACGTGTTCATCTCCCCACAGCCCAAGGGTAGGGACCAGGTATTATTCACATAGCACACAGCACAGAGCTACCAAATGGCAGGCAAAATTAAGTGTTCGGTTCTATTAACTACTCTAACGTTAAAATGAAAGTATTCCATGGCTCAAAGTATTTCCAAACCTTAACTCTGGAGGCTTAAATAGGATATACCTATGCTGTGTCACCAGAAAACAGTGTTTGAAAGTATCATTTGTTAATCTTATTGATTTACACTATCAAGTAAAATAGGATTAGAAAATTTAGTTCTTCAATGTTACAGCAGAATAATTTGTTTTTAATTGCATGTTATACATATTTCCTATGACCGTCAGAATTTAATTAGAATTTGAATAATCAAAATTCAGTACATATTTGTAGAATACCTATCAAATCATAGTTACTTATTTTAATCTCTCGCTTGGTCTGAATATCTGGATTATGTCTGGAATATTGGCAGGCAATGTATTCTAAATTATTTAAATATCTAAACCTTACATCATTGCATTCCCCGAATTGGAAGCTTTGTGATCTGTTCTGATCTTGCTGGCATATTTTCCTTTTGCAAAGGACTAACACCAGTAGAGTATATATAATTTCAAAATCAGATGTTTGATGAATGCATTTGAGCCAATACTCAAAGAACAGATATTTATTGAGCGCTGACCAGGTGCAAGATTCTTAAACCTTAGAATATCTAGTCCAAAGAGGACTTGTACAGATTCTGACCTCAAAGAACTTACAGGCTGGAGGGGAACGTAAATATGTAAAAATACTTACTTTATTCTTAATGGAAATCTTAAGAAAGTGCTAGGGGAACTTAGGGGAGATGATTATGGGGATTGATTACCTAAAATCAAGGTGAATTGGGCCAGGGAGGCAACTCTTCCAGGGAGGAGTCAGTTAATATTCCTAGGCATGCACGTTGCTCAGTAATTGCAACATATACTTTTCCTGAGAGCAGAGTTGACATTGTGGTGGTGTCTTGTTCTAGGTACTCTCCTTTTTCTTCATTGGTCTGATGTCCATGATGATTCCCCTGTGTGGTGTCTTTGGGGCCCTCATTGCTGTCTGTCTCATCATGGGTCTCTTCGATGGATGCTTCATTTCCATTATGGCTCCCATTGCCTTTGAGTTAGTTGGTGCCCAGGACGTTTCTCAAGCAATTGGATTTCTACTTGGATTCATGTCTATACCCATGACTGTGGGCCCACCTATTGCAGGTAAATGTAATGGTTCTCCAGTAATTATCTGTAAAATATATTATGATCTATTGGTTGGTGGTCTTTTGCTTTTGTATGTGCCTTAGTGATAACATTTTTAATAAGACCAGCTGTAGATGGCATGTTGAAAAAGTTTGCTGAGGAGTCTCTCTTATCCTTATTGATAATCTGACACAGTAAAGTGTGTAATTGCAATCTTCTGGGCTTTAAGCTTTTACAGTTCCTGTATTTCACTTAGTATGTGTTTTGGAGAAATGGGAACATAGTTTCTTTAAAAAAAGAGGTGAAGATTCTGAAAGATTTCTAAATATGTATGCTTTGGGCAAGAGATCGTATCCCCCCTAGAAATAATTAATGAAAAATACCATTTAGTGGAAACAACTCAAATGTCCATCAGTGGATGAATGGACAAACAAAATGTGGTGCAGCCATAAGGGGATATTATTCGGCCATAAAAAGGAATGAAGTATTGTACCAATACATGCTACCAGGTGATGAACCTTGAGAACATTATGCTAAGTGAAAGAAGCACAAATACAATATGAAAAGGTCACATACTGTATGATTTTATTGATATGAAATATCCAGAGTAGGTAAATCCACAGAGGCAGAGAGCAGATTGGTGGTTTCCGGGGGCTGGAGGGAAGGGGGAGTAGGGAATAACTGCTTAACGGGTATGACATTTCCTTCTGGTGTGATAAAAATATCTGGGGACTAGATAGAGGTGGCGGTTATACAACACTGTGAATGTGGTAAGTGCCACAGAAATGGTTAATTTATGTTATGACGCATTTCACCTTTAGAAATCTTCTCAATAGCATAAAATTGTCTCATGTTCAATATCACTGGGGTGCCAGTAAATTATTAGATTAGAATCTGATAAAATTAGGATAAAATTCAAATGTATTTATTATCGTTGGTGTTTGGCATGTAAGGGGCTCAGAGAAAGTTCATTCTCGTATCCAGAATCGCACATATCTAGCAACTTTTCCCGCTGGGAACCTAGTCACGAATCAAGCACATAGAGTCACTAAAGGTCACAGTCTCCCTGTAGGAGGAGAACCCTCCAGCCCTTCTTCCCCTGCCTGCAGGTAATAGACTATTCACACTATTTTTACACCTTACAAACGTAGATTTCTAGGGTTTCCAAGTCAAAAGCAGATAATAAGTAGCACTTTGGTAGGAATGGTGTTTGCAACTAGAAATGACTGATAATAGACCAAGAATAAGGAGATAACTGGAAACTTCCTAAGTTGGCAGAACAGCACCCAGCAACTGGCAGCAGAAAGCTCTTGACTCCTCAGGAGCTTCTGACGGATCATAGTATTACAGTCCAAACATGATGACTGGTGTTCATAAGGAAGGAAAGGGTCAGTATATACAGAATATTCTGACTCAGAAGATAAGAAAATTGTAGATTTAGATATATTGTATATTTTATGTTTCTATCTAGAATAAATGCACACTTCATGTGTCGGTACTTGACAGATTCTCAGCTGTTTATTTAGAAAAGTCAGATACTCCATGGGGCGCCTGGGTGAGTTATCCGGTTAACCGTCCCCATCGCTTCAGCCGATACAATCATCGCTGTCACGTGAGTTCGTAGTCACGCTGTTGGGCTTTTGGGGCTGGTGGCTCAGAGCCTGGAGCCTGTTTCCGATTCTGTGTCTCCCTCTCTCTCTGCCCCTCCCCCGTTCATGCTCTGTCTCTCTCTGTCCCCCCAAAAAAAAAAAATAAACGGTGAAAAAAAAAATATTAAAAAAAAAAAAAAAAAAAAGAAAAGTCAGATACTCCATACGGTTTGTTCCCTGGACATTTCTGATAACTTAGGTCTTATGGTAAAAGTTACAAAAGTTTAAAAACACTAAGATAGGGGCACCTGGGTGACTCATTTGCTTAAGTGTCCGACTCTTGGTTTTGGCTTGGGTCATGGTCTCGTGGTTTGTGGGTTCAAGCCCCACTGGGTTCTGCACTGACACTGAGGAGCCTGTTTGGGATTCTCTCTCTCTGCCCCTCCCCTGCGCACGCGTGCACGCTCTCTCTCGAAAATAAATAAATAAACGTTAAAAAAAAAACCACTAGGATGACTTTTAAAATCTGGATTTTGTGGGGTGTCTGGCTGGCTCAGTTGGTAGAGTATGTGACTCTTGATCTTGGGGTTATAAGTTCGAGCCCCATGTTGGGTGTAAAGTTTACTTAAAAAATAAAATCTTAAAAAACATTTTTTTTTAATGTTTTTATTTATTTTTGACAGAGAGAGACAGAGCACATGTGGGAGAGGAGTAGAGAGAGAGGGAGGCAGAATCTGAAGCAGGCTCCAGGCTCTAAGCTGTCAGCACAGAGCCCGACGGGGTGCTGGAACTAATGAACTACGAGATCATGACCTGAGCTGAAGTCAGACATTTTACCAACTAAGCCACCGAGGCACCCCAAGAATAAAATCTTTTTAAAAAAACCTGGATTCTGTTAGAGAAATTAGAAATAAGGAGTATTCAAAATAACCGTTTTTAGAAGCAGAGCCCAAGGATCTATTAAAGTGCAAACATATATTCTTATGTTTTACTCCCACGTGCTGATAAATGTATGTAACAGTCTAACTTTTTCATCCTCTTAGATCTATAATTTTTGTTACGATTTCGGATCATAATTTTAAATATAGTTTCATGTTATTTCATAAACAAATAGGCCTAAGAAAGATGTGAAATGTAGACGTTGTAAGGACCATTACACCAAAGGTCAGAATACCCCAAATGGCCTTTGAATGGTTTTGAGAAAGCCAAAGCTTGGTTGCAAATATTTTTTTCCATGTAATAACTTGGTATGAAAACCCATAGGCTTGTAGTCTGTGACGAGATTAAAGATCTAAGATCTTTTCCTTCCTTCTATCAGGAAAGGTTATTACCTCAGACCCATTTCCTAGGCAATGTCTGATATTTGAGATGGTTGAACTAGTCCTGCTGAGATGAAGTTGTTAGCTTAGGAGGAGGCCATCAGTGTGATTGATCTGAGACCCCTAAAAGCCACACTTGGTTCTCTCTTGGTGACAGTTTTTTCCCTTCCCAGGGTTACTTCGTGACAAGCTGGGCTCCTACGATGTGGCATTCTACCTCGCTGGAATCCCTCCCCTCATTGGAGGTGCTGTCCTTTGTTTTATCCCATGGATCCACAGTAAGAAGCAAAGAGAGATTGGTGAAACCACTGGAGGAGAAAAGATGGAGAAAATGTTGGAGAACCAGAACTCTCTGCTGTCAAGCTCACCTGGAATCTTTAAGAAAGAATCTGACTCTGTTATTTAATGTCTTATATACCTCCACCAGACTGGACTTGCTTTCGGAAGTTTAAGCAAGTTTCCCTTTTATATGAATTGCAAATTTCCTATTTTTTTAATTACATCTTAAGAATAGCACAATAATTGGGAAATAGAACCCTTATTACTACAAGAACCATTTCTGCCACAGAATAGCTAGCTGTTTGATATTTCCATGAGTTTGGGGGCAGAGACTATGGTATATGAAAACCTGTCTGAAAGTCAAATATTAAGAGAATTGAAGCTATTCCAAAGCAACTTTGGAAACTGTGAATGCTAATAAGCTTATACAAATATTTAAAAATACCTCGGGGCGCCTGGGTGGCTCAGTTGGTTGAGCGTCCGACTTCGTTCGGCTCAGGTCGTGTTCTTGCTGTTCGTGGGTTCAAGCCCCGCGTCAGGCTCTGTGCTGACAGCTCGGAGCTTGGAGCCTGCTTCGGATTCTGTGTCTCCCTCTCTCTGCCCCTCCCCTGCTTGCACTCTGTCTCTCTCTCTGTCTCTCTCTCTCTCAAAAATAAATAAATGTTTTTAAAAAATTAAAAAAAAATACCTCACGCTATACTGAAAGGGTTGCAATTTGGTTAGGACTGGAAATAACGTTTATCGTCTCACATGGTGTTTTTAGTTCTGGTATCTCCGTTTTAATTTCTTCTGCTATTTGGAAACTTTTTACCTTTAAGCCTGGATTCTATATAATGTCAGACCTACCTAAACCTAAAGTCTATGTTAAAGTTGCTTGCCTGCCGTTCAGTAAGATATGAAATTAAGTTATCCTGACTTGCTTCAGTGTCAAGGGAACTTCTTGGTGCTGATGGTAACACTGTGTTCAGATTCAGTATATGTGAGATGAAAAGGATCCTGTTCATTAGGGCAGAGCAATTTGGAAATCAGGCGCTTCTTCCACTTACTTTTTGTTCTCTTTTGGTTTGCAGTATGTTTTACTCAGGTAGCCAGAAACACCCCAAATTTCTGAAATTGTTTAAATTTTAACAATAAAGTAAAATAGAATGAATGAAAGAGATTCTGGCAGTTTTAACATAGAATTTTTCTGGCTTCTGACTTTGTTGGCACTAGACTTGACATTTCAGCAGAGTCTTACCGAGCATGTTATCAAGTTGCAGTTTCAGGTGCAAATGGTGAAAAAAATCTTTTAATCATGCAGAAGGTATTTCTGATGGAAATAATTGCTCAAATTGGTTTATAAAATTAATGGGTCTTGGAAGGTTAAAAGCACTTATAAAGAGAAATAACTTCTGTATTTCTCAAACTTTCTGGCAAAAATTTGCACTCATCAGTATTTATCCTAGCATGCTCCCCATTAACATTCCCAATATTTTTTCTATTTATACAAAAACACTTGTATGAAAGCTATTAAAGTTTTAAGGACCTAAAAATTAAAACCGAAGTCATGCCATGACCTCTACTCGTCTACAAAAAACTAAGAACAATTTCCTCATACTACATGTTTCTTATTTATGTCTTTGAAAATTAATAATATGCAAAGTATATTTAATTCCTAAGTATAAATGTGTATTAGAGCTTCCTCAAATGTAGCTTGTTCACTTGGGAAGAATGCTGTCTTTTTCTAAAGCACCTTCAGGATCCATAGGTTTCTAACTTCTCTGGATGGACAGAAACTTAATCTATTATCTCCCTGCTTTTCTTTTCAGCTTCTATTGTTTCTTTGCCTCTAGCTGAGGATATAGGTACTGAAGAGCATATGAATTTGTAGTTGTTGATGGGGGTGGGGCAGGGCACACAGGGGGCTGGAGGGAAGCGAGGCAGTTAATTAAACAGCTAGAAAAACCCAAAAGTTCAAAGTAGGAATGCTGAATGCGGAATTTATTTTTAATAGGATTTTAAGTGGTTTTTTTTATTGTGAAGACATCACTTAGCCATTTACTACATACACATGGTTGCAACTTCCAGTACTTCTATATTTCATATTTAGGAAACTTGGGTAATTTGTTTTTTGGAAGGTTCTGTTGCTTAAAAGAACAACTATATTTTGACCATACTGCCCTTTCATATTCTTATTTTAAAGCTTTTAGAAAATGACTTAGAAATGATAATGCAAGATATTATCGGATTCATTTATTCACACCCAATTACATAAAACATTATTTCTTGATTATTATCAGTACTTTAGAGAACATACAACTAAGATCAATCATCAAACTTGCCATTATAAAAAAATTTTTTTGATAGTTTTAGCACAGACTCCTAAGACTGCCTCACCCCCTTTTTACAGAAAGAATTCTAAAAGAGAAAATTTGCTCTGTAAAGACCTCCAAAATGTTTTCCCTTTCAAAATTTGGCTGATTTTAGAAAGAAAAAGTAACAATCTGACTTGCTCTTGCTTGGTTAGTTTCCATAATAAAAGAGCAAAGTGACTGAAGTATTAATAGTATTTAGTATAGTATTTAGATCTCAGAATATTTTGTGTACAATATTACACATATGCAGCTTTCAGTCTAATGGAATGAATTAAATGGGATCTATGATACTGAAAGAGCTCCACTATAATAGACTGTTATGGGGAGGTCTGTGCTGTAATAATATAAAGTTAAAAAGTATAAACGATGCTGAATTCTATAAAATGCATATTTCATAACATATGTTGTTTGGTACAAAAAGTTCTAGAAGTCTGAAGTTTAAAGATAAAATGAAAAATACTAATATTCATAAGGATTTGTGTTTTAGACAAGAAATAGTACCATAATCTTTCAAAGTAAATCCTTTGTAATCTCTGAACAGAGTGTTACTATTGCAATAAAGTGACTCGATGGGCCTAAATTTTTTGGTTCAATCCAGACACTTTTTTGAGAGGAAAAGAATAGAGTCAGAACTCTGCTTTCTATCTCATCATCCTAATTCTGATAAAACTCAGCAAATTCTCAAATTCAAAGGTTCTGGTATTTGAGGCCAACAACATAAAGGGAGCAACTATTTGCTCCCTTTACAGAGACTCTGGATCAGATACTATTGCCTCTGGATCTTCCAGAAACATTGCAGTTAAATTTTACTGCGGTAGACATTATTAGGATCCATCCATTTCAGTAGTAATAAACCACCCAGATCGATACTTTATTCAAAATTTATAAATTTCTTTGATCCCATTTAAAATCCTTAGTCTACAGTCCTACGACAAGACTTGTAATATCCACTGGAAATTGCATCATGCTTGCATTAAGCTTCAAATTCTATCCGTAAATAGAAACAAGACTTCATTTGTACTTCCTGATCCATTGTATCTGTTTATACATGTTTGCAGAAGATCCCCTCCCAAGTATGAAGAAAACCTTAACTCTGTTGGCTTCAACTTTCCACACTTTTAAAATAAATGTACACCTAATTATAAATAAACATAGGTTTGTCTTTACTTATGGTAATTCTAATCCTTTCAACTGCATTTAAGAATATTTTAATTTGTACCATTGTTATTTACAAACCACTTTATGTCCAAATGACTTTTGTGCTTAAGTGAATAGAAAACTGAATAGAAAATGCGATTGGGGTAGGCAACCTCCAGCATGGGTGGCATAAGGGAAGTTCCTGGCCATGCACTTTTCCACCTTTTTTTTTTTTTTTTTTTAATATTTATCCATTTTTGAGGTGGGGGGGGGACAGAGAATCTGAAGTGAGCTCCCTGCTGACAAGCAGAGAGCCTGATGTGGGGGTGGGGCTTGAACCCACAGACCTCAAGATCATGACCTGAGCTGAAGTCGGATGCTTAACCAACTGAGCCACCAAGGCACCCCCCTACCCTTTCTTAGGCCTCATTTGTTTACTCTTCCTATTATCTTTATCTTTATCCTTATCATTCTTTCCCCCTTTACTTCCCTCTGTCTTTCAAAAACCTGCTCAAGAGTCCATTGACATCCTTGCTTAGTTCCACTGGCTGTTTAGCTGCACTACTTACTGGTCCCTATGGCTTCACAGGATGAAATCGCATCCAGCTTCACATCACCTGTCACCTGGTAGAACAGCTTGCTCTCAGCCTTCAACTTAGAGTTCTATTGGTCTCCATTGAAAAAATTGTTTAATTGTGTGGTTAAAATTTGGGGAGGAAGTGATAGGTGTTATATATTGGCATCTTTTGTGCTAATATATAAAACTTTATTTAAATGTTTAATGCTTTCAGAGAAAAGATCGTCAAGTTCTCAAATATTTTCAGAGAGCATAATTTTTTACTTTGATTTTCATATTCCATTGAGAGCACATCGTGGAGGATGCTGTGGAATGTAGTGGCCTCTCAGAGACGGCTCCTAATGAAATCTGCTGCAGGCTGATACTTTATGGTAAAGGGTGTTAAATTCCCAGAGTCTAGAGGTACAAGTGGAAAGGATAAGTTAATTAGCTCTAATTAAAAAAATAGGTAAAAAGGGATGCCCTGTAAACAGGGTGGTTCAGTCAGTTAATCCGCCTCTTGGTTTCAGCTCAGGTCATGATCTTGCAGTTCATAGGATTGAGCCCAGCATCAGGTTCTGTGCTGACAGTGAAGAGCCTGCTTGGGATTCTCTCTCTCCCTCTGCCTGCCCCCCACCTCTTTCTCAAAATAAATAAAATAAACTTTAAAAAAAAATGTAAACAATCAGGGGCGCCTGGGTGGCTCCGTTGGTTGAGCGTCCAACTTCAGCTCAGATCACGATCTCACAATGTGTGAGTTCGAGCTCTGTGCTGACAGCTCAGAGCCTGGAGCCTGCTTTGGATTCTGTGTCTCCCTCTCTCTCTGTTCCTCCCCCACTCACAATCTGTCTTTCTCTCTCTCTCTCTCAAAATAAAAACATTAAAACAAATTTTTTTAAATATGTAAACGATTTAAGTTTTAGACTCCTTAGGAAATTTCTAATTGAAAACTTCATCATTGTTGGCATAAACATTAAGGAGCATTTTTTGCATTAGGCTAAAAATTGTTGCTTTTTCCCATGTGTGAAAAGGAGAAGGAAGTGAAACATTATTTTACATTTATATTCTTTAAAAAATTTT